TACAGAACATTGTCTGCTTTAGCTTCTTCATTTTTCGACTGCGTTTTCTACTTTTTTTTTCTTTAACTTCGTTATTCTCTACTTTATTTTGTTTCTATGAAACCTCTTCGGTTTTGAATGATTTCGAGACAATTTTTTGTTTTTTACCAATTGACAAAAAATAAATAGATTTTTTTTCTTGCCAACAATGGCAAACTTTTTTTACTTTTTCGAAGTGAAAATTTTCACCATTAGTCCCCAACATATGGACCTTGTTGCAATTTGGTCCAATTTATTTAGATTGCCAACACTCGCCCCAACCCTTTGTTTCTGTAGCTGCATTGATCTTCGTGGACAGTTGTGGTTGGAGGGGACAGGGTTAGGTATTGGGGATGCTAGAGGTGGGGGGGAATTGCAGGAATGATGGCTGGATGGCAGTGGACCGACTGCTCATTTTAAGGGTTGAGAACCAACTTGAACCATACTTTATGGACCAGCGCTGCAATTTCCCGTTCAATAGTCCATATAATTTAGGGTGTGTTTGATCCATATTATTTTGAAAGAATATATTCTGGAATAGTAGATTGATGGAGAATTTGTGGTTGAAAAAGAAGGAAAAGTTATTGATTTGATGGAAAATATTATTTTATTGAAGAATGTGTGGTTGAAAATGAGTAGAAGAATGAGAATGAAAATTTTAATGTGTACCAAATAGGGGCTAAATTAAAAAATTNGAAATAGTACATATCTGCGTCTCAATTAGTGCATATCTAGGGTGTGTTTGATGAATATTATTTTGGAAGAATGTATTTTGGAATAGTAGATTGATGGAGAATGTGTGGTTGAAAAAGAAGGAAAAGTTATTGATTTGATGGAAAATATTATTTTATTGAATAATGTGTGGTTGAAAATGAGTAGAAGAATGAGAATGAAAATTTTAATGTGTACCAAACATGGGCTTAAATACTTTTTGTGCTTAATATCCTAATAAAAGAAAATGGAAAGTTATATAATTGATGAAAAGTTGCCTCTCTTAAACCTAAAAGCTTAAAAAGAAAATAAATCAGAATATAGGAAAATAGGAAATCACTTAAACTAAATCGCAATCTCTCTTTCTAAAATAAATGTGTAATCATCGGTAAGTCTTGAATTTGGTATCTATTAAAATCTTCATCAAAAGCATATGGTAGCAAGTTTCTGGTGAGCTGGAGATTAACCTATATTAAGGGATGATGCTTGTGGAGTATACAATTAACTCATTTTCAACATTGACAAGGTTCTTGATTTTTATATGTGGTAATTTTTTTCATAATGC